TAGTTTCTATCGCCAAAAAAAAAACAAATCTCTGGTGGTGGTGTCGAAGAAGAAGCCAAAGGCTGGCAAGAAGCTCCCCAAGGACGCCGGAAAGGCGGCCATCGGCGGAGAGAAGAAGAAGAGGACGAAGAAGAACGTGAAGACAAACAAGATCTACATCTTTAAGGTGATTCGGTTTATTTTTCCCCTGTTGTCCAGTTATTATTAAATCCTAATCGTTTGCTTAATAATTTTTTTGTGTTTGCATAAATTAAAAATCAAAACAAATTGGGATGCATTATGCATAGGTCAATGGAATTACCAAAAGTTTTATCTGTTCACAACCTTGTTTATCCCATGTGCACTCTTTTTGTTTCTCAATGAATATTGAAGTTTCAGTTTTTTTTTTTTTAAACAAAAAGATAGAGATAGAAGCTTGATGATGTTATATTGATAATCGGTGGAAGTTTGCATTTTTTTAATAAATAAAAAATTTGACGAATGTAGCACAGAGTGTTACTGTAGAGGATTATTATGTGAACATGAACTTGTAAAAGGAATTGATTTTGATTTGTACATTTGAACGTATATTAATAATAATTTATGTATTTCGAATTTGATTGTGTTATTGCAGTTAATGATAATTGTTGATTTTTTGTCACAGTTCTCGGTGTTTGAACAACTTCTATGTACGAAGTTTTTATCGAGAGACATGGTGTTCGTCAAATTAAATTATTATTTTTTTGTTACAGGTCTCGGTGTTTAAACAACTTCTAGCACTATTTTTTTGTCGAGAGGACATGGTGTTCGTCAATTCAAAATAGTTCTTTTGCGATAGATCGGAGTTGCTGTCGTGGTGAAAAGTGGGATTTGAAGCTATAAATACAAACTACACTATATATGACTATACTTTTATAGATAGTCACATGTAGTCATATACATGTAGTCATATATAGTCACATGTAGTCATATAGATGTAGTCATATATAGTCACATGTAGTCATATACATGTAGTCATATATAGTCACATGTAGTCATATACATGTAGTTATATTTAATCACATGTAGTCATATATAGTCACATATTGTCATATAGATATAGTCATATATATTCACATGTAGTTATATATAGTCATATATAAGTTATGTGGTGATTCTGATGTATAGTGATGTTGATGATTGCATTTTTTCAATTTTTTGTTGGGTGCGAATTGATTTATAATATCATTATTCAAATTTTGAATTTTGTTGGAGATGTAGATGAATTTTTTTTTTTATAAAATCAACGATATATATAATCGGTCGACCATAACTTTGGGTAAAAAGACAGTACATGACTATAGTCTTATAGAATCATATATAGTCATATTCGAAACAGTGAAGTTTTCGGGAAAAAAAAATCAGAAAAAAAGAAAAGCTAAAAAGAAAAAAAAAAAAAACTTATATAGTCATATATAGTCATATTCGAAACAGGGAAGTTTTCACGGAAAAAAAAAAAAAGAAAAAAAAACGAAAATACTAAATGCAGTAGCAAAAATGCTGAATGCAGTTGGGCGAAAATTGTAAATAAGGGCACAATAGTACTTTTCCCTCTCTAGGGGGTTATCTCAAAGAAAGAATTTTAGGGGTGGACCTATCCCTATTTATTTTCCATATGAGAGGTGTATATCTAATGGA